AGAAGCCTCAATATTTGATAAGTGTTCACTAAAACCAAAGAAATAAAGTCTAACAGCAATGACAGCGTTTGACATTGAAATATGTAAGATTCTTAAAACTTTGCAACAGGCAATTCTGAACACCTGCTAGATTTATCATTTTTGAGTCCCCACTGTTAAGCACTTAAAAGACATTACTACTCATCTCACTGAGCCTCTAACCAGGAAGGTATATGAACCCTCACTTTAGAGATAATGAAATGATGGCCTGACATTAAGTAACCTGCCCAACATCAGGGGGTTAGTAAGCGGTGGTGCTTCTATTCAAAAGCTAACATTCAAAGCCTCCACTCTTTCCTTCATACCAGTGGTTCTAAAATTGTGGGCCAGGATTTCCGTAGGTTCTGTGAGATCAGAACTATTTCTACATGATCCTGAGATGCTATTTGCTTTTTCATTCTCATTTTCTCCAAATGAACAGTAAACTTTTCCAGAGGCTTATGACTAGCACAGACTACATTCAGAAACAGATGTGAGAATCAATGTTTGATAAAATATAAAACAATGCCACTAATTTTTTGTCTTGGGAAAAATTAATCTTTCATTTAAAAAGTATTATGTATGTTAACACATGATGGTTTATTATTTTTTTAAAAATTAACAAATCAACATTTTAAACTTTCATCAAATTTTAGCTGGGCACGGTGGCTCAGGCTTGTAATCCCAGCACTTTGGGAGGCCAAGGCCAGTGGATTCATCTGAGGTCAGGAGTTCAAGACCAGCCTGGACAATGTGGTGAAATCCCATCTCTATAAAAAATACAAAAAATTAGCCAGGTGTGGTGGTGGGTGCCTGTAATCCCAACTACTAGGGAGGCTGAGTCAGAGAATTGCTTGAACTTGGGAGGTGGAGGTTGCAGTGAGCCAAGACCAAGCCATTGCCCGCTAGCCTGGGTGACAGAGTAAGACTCCATCTCAAAAATAAATAAATATATAAATAAATAATAATAATAATAATTAAAACTTTCTGAGACAGTAAATATCAATACACATAACTCACATAACTAACACATGCTCTTTGGAGTCCCCAATTATTTTTTAAGAATGTATAAAGGTCTGAGATGAATAGATTTGAGAAAGACTGTCTAATTAGCTATTGAAAAGAAATATAAGCTAGGGTTTTTCCTTCCCTGTAAATCTTATCAAATAATCAGAAATCTAGCGCTTCCATTAAAGAAATGTCCATATACAAAAATGTATAATTTTTCACATTTTGATCTGATGAACTGTGGCCTTTTTGTTCTAATATTTTTCTTTGTTGACTTTTCAATATAAAGGTAAACTTATCTTTAAAGATACTTAAATGTGTTCCATTCAGAAGCCAGGAAATGCTTAAACAGCATAATTTCTATCTTTAAAAAGAGAAAAACTCAAGAAGAGTCAGTAATTCTATCTGAATGTGGTAATTCAGGCAACAAGTTAAATGGACATTTCAACCTAACCTGGGAGATTCCCATGACACCCAGTATAGTACTGAGCCACTACTCGATCACATATAAAATGGAAAATAATTTTAGTAGCTCTAAAGCAAAACATAATTAGATCAAAATATTTGCTAGGGTAGAATGCCAATCATTCAAGAAAGAGATGTTAAAGGTATGGGATAGTATTTGGAATTACCCATACCATTATCCTCCTTACATGTGGCAATATAGGCTAAAAGAGAGATCACTAAGGCTGTATGATATGATATTTTACCTATCCTTAAAAATAAAGTTAATTTTACATTGTATCTATATGTGAAATGACATAATTATGTAGCAAGGTTTGTACTTCAAGAGATCAGAAACTAAAACTAGAGGAGAATTAACATATATGCCATGGAGTGGACATTATACTAGACACTTGGTATATGTTACCCCCACTTAATCTAATACCCTTTGTGCTGGTGTTATTTTTCCTGCTTAACTAATGAAAAATCTGAAGTAAAGAGAAGTTAAATCCCTTGCCTAAGATTACCAGGTTAATAAGCAATAAAGCTAGGAGTTCAGTATCTTTCTAACTTTAAAAGTCTATGTTCTGTGCCTAAGACTTAACACCTCCCTAACCTTATGTTCAAAACTGAGCGTTAAAATCTGAACAGGAGGCAAAGTTAAGCAGAAATAAGAAAGCAAATAATCAATGAGCAAAATGGAAAACCTAATTGTACTCAGAATGAAAATACCTCAAATGTCCTAGTTTTACATCCCTGTAAATGTCCTGGGTTTGCCTATAATGACACACTCAAAGAAGAAGGGAATGCATGTGGGCTCTCCCGGAGTCCAGCACAGGACACAGCATGCATGGAGCCTCCACTGCTCAGGGACTCAAATGCCACAGACTCACACACGTTCTCTGAAATGCCCACTGAGGTATCTGTACTCTTAAAATGCAGGAAAGCCAGAGGACAGCAACAATTCTCATCCAGGGATCAGACTATAAGCACAGGGGGGTCTCCAAACTGTGCTCGCCCCCTGGTAGACAGGATGCTGGAATGAGAAATCTGAGAAACCACTAAAAAAAAAAAAAAAAAAAAAAAAAAATCCCTCGCTTAGTAAGAAACTTCCCAGGGAATAAGAAAATAATAATTCCTAAAAACTAAGTCACATTCATTTCTGTCCTAAAAGCCACCCAAGTCTGCTGGCCTCAGGGACACTACTTTTGGTTCGCTCTGAAGGGGTGTGTTTTGCCCTGAGGTTACATGAGGATCACCAAGGGCTTCAGGGAAGCTGCCCTCCCCACCAGCTGAGGGCAGCTTCCCTGAAGCCACTATTTGTCCTGCAGTCCCAGGAGTCTTCCTGACCTCCACTCCCCAAGCCCAGCTGAGGATGAAGCTTCAGAGCCTTTGTACTAAACGCCTCCCTGAATCTAAAAATTTTTTTTTAAAAATTTGTGATTTTTTTCTTTCCTTTTTTTTGAGATGAAGTCTCACTTTGTTGCCCAGGCTAGAGTACAGAAGCATGATCTCGGCTCACTGCAACATCTACCTCCTGGGTTCAAGCAACTCTCCTGCCTCAGCCTTCCGAGTAGCTGGAACCACAGGCATGCACCACCATATCCAGCTCATTTTCTGTATTTTTTAGTAGAGATGGAGTTTCACCGTATTGGCCAGGTTGGCCCTGAATTCCTGACCCCAGGTGATCTGCCCGCCTCAGTCTCCCAGAGAGCTGGGATTACAGGCATGAGCCACCATGCCTGGCACAAAATATTTTTTTTTTTTTTTTTTGAGACAGAGTTTCGCTCCTGTTCCGCAGGCTGGAGTGCAATGGCGCGATATCGGCTCACCGCAACCTCCGCCTCCTGGGTCCAGGCAATTCTCCTGCCTCAGCCTCCTGAGTAGCTGGGATTACAGGCATGCGCCACCGTGCCCAGCTAATTTTTGTATTTTTAGTAGAGACGGGGTTCCACCATGTTGACCAGGATGGTCTCGATCTCTTGACCTCGTGATCCACCCGCCTCGGCCTCCCAAAGTGCTGGGATTACAGGCGTGAGCCACCGCGCCCGGCAAAATAAGTATTTTTTAAATGAACTGATAAAAAGTGCAGAAGACAAATTTCACCACTAAAAAAATAAAAAACAAAACAAACAAACAAAAATCCTCTGAGATGCTTTGAGTAGCTCTGTTTCCTGACCAAACTCTTTTGCTTTCAACACTGCTTCAGTCCCTTCTGTTCCCAGTTTGACCCTTCTGGACCAAACTGTCCTCGAAGGCCTAGACAACAGGTTCACACTTGATCTTCTGTATGCTTCTCCACCTGTCCTGTAAACTGTCTAATCAATTCACTGGCTCCCTCCCCATTTCAGGCCAAATTCCTTAAAAAGGAATCCAAGATCACAACAATCTGGCACTGACTGATACTTTCCAACCTCCTCCCTGCAGCAAACTTGACTTCCTGAGCAGTTGTTTAGCAAACCAGCCCCCAATCTGAACTGCTGACCTGGGTTCACCTCCCCTGGGTAAGGCCTTGCCAAATTCCAAGCATCCTCACCTAAAGGTTTCCCTCTCTCTGAACACTTGTCACATAATCATGCCTGGTCTTTCACTCTTCTGTATTTTCACATGCAGGTCTTATTTCCCCAAAATTGATTATAAGTCCATCAAAACAAGCACTATGCCTTTTAGCTCTAAAATCAGCTACAGTGTGCCGCAAAAACAGAGTTGCAATTCTAGTAATCAGCATGTATTTTTAAATAGTACTAAGAATAATCTGTATACATGGACGTTAATTTATCTTCCATAGACCTAGGGCATAAATACCAAAATTTATAATGGAAAAATGTCTTTGTGCCTATGATAATTTAAAACTTAAATCTGTTCTTTTATAAGATCTGAATGACAACAAAAATGTCAGCTTACAAAAAAGGAAGACTCCCTACTTGAGTAGCTGGGTGCCCAAATCTCTTAAGAGACCGAACATCTTCTGTGAATCATCACTTACTGTGATTTTCTACAATTTGCAATTTAAACTCATACTAACAAATTCAACAGTTGGTAAAATCAGTACCATAAAAGTATACATATCTTGCAGCTTCCCAAGAAAAACACCACAATATAAAAGGAGGGATGGAAGAGACTACCACACACACATAAATCGTTGCTAGAAACCAAGTGTCAGTGTATTTTTGAAACACACACACAGAGAGAAAGAATAAAGAAGAATTCACAGAAGGAAACAAAAGCGCTTGTCTCGTGAGCATTCTAAGACCTCTGTCCACTTCCTTGCTAGCAGCCACCCAGCTCCTCGTTGGCAGGGACTCGGTCTTAGTTATCTACACATCCTTAACATCTAGCACAATCCCTGGGACAGGGAGATTCAAGAGTTCTTGCCTGAATAAAAAAATGCATAAGCCAATAACAAGATAAAAATTAAGGCACTTATAATGAAAAAGCTTTTCATAAAGTTTAAAGAAAAATTCGATTAGACAAGTTAGCCATGCTGAATTTCACACTGCAATACAGAGGCAGGCTCTGTGTCCCCTTACCTGATGCACAGGCACTTTCTGCGGGGTGTTCTGGGGTGATGGGTGGAGCTGTGCCCAAGGCTGGTGATGAGGGTGTGGGGGTGAAGACTGGTGGTGCAAGCCCGGGTGGGGCTGCAGTGGAGAACAGGTTGGCAACTGCTGAAAAGACGGCTGCTGGCCAGGATGCTGTTGGCCAGGTATCAGTCGTTCCTGGATTGCTTGTGGGTCTCCAAGGCCAACACCAGGACAACCATTTGGTCTCATGTGCCCAGTCAACTCCCTTGGTGCCGAGGACATGCCCATAAATGGGCGAGACTGCTGCATGTTTCTGGGGCCCATATTCCTCTGTCCGATTCCCATGGCACCAGTGGGCTGGTGAGATGGCTGAGGATGGGGCATATTTGGATAACTGCCAACTTCCATTGGTATCCCAGCACTTCCCGGCCTGACTTGTGGAGGAGGAGTGCCTGCTGGATTACTCATTGCTTTCATGGGTGACATGGGAGGTGGAGAGGCATAAGTTCCCTGAGGCTGTGAAGGATGCATAGTTTGTGTGTTCATTTGGTTAAGTGAGCCACTGGGGTGGATGGGCTGCTGGTGCATTAGTCCTTGACCACTGTTTGATGGGAATCCTACAGCATTGGGGTATCTTGGTACGGACTGATTCATTGGAGTATTATTTGTAAGGCCTAAATTTTGATTCATCCCTGTATTGTTAACTAATCCCTGATTTAGGTTACTGTAAGGATATCGAGAATACTGCCCTGAGTTGTTTATAGTAGGAGAGGGGACTGTCTGGCTCCGAGAACTAAAGTTAAGGGTTTGTGGCCTAACAGCCCCTTGTTGAGGAGGATTCGGGGAGAATCTGGGACTGTGGGCAACGGATTCTCCATGGAGAGCAGTAGGGGGGTGGTGATGGAACTGCTGCACCGAGTGACGCAAGGAAGGTGCCATGCTGGGACTCTGCTGGGGCACGTGGGACAAGTGGCCAGGTCCTGAGGTGGCAATAAAAGGATTTCCCTGATTGAGGCCCTCCTGGCCTTGGGAAAACTGGCTCATCCTCTGCTGGGGCTGACCATGCTGCTGCATGGAAAAATCCCCACGTGCCATATAGCTGCCCATCTGCTGCACGTGCTGAGGGTGGCCCTGTGCAGGGGGCCCCGACGGAGCCGGCTGTGGTGGCTGCGGCTGTGGCTGCTGCTGCTGGTAGGGGGCTCGTATCTGGTCTGGTACCTGAACAGCCCGGGGCCCCCACATGGAGCTGCTGTCCACAAAGGATTGCCCATGCCTCTCATTCTGCATGCCAGGGTAGACGCCCATCTGACCGCCACCACTGCCACCATGGGGCACTTGAGGAACGGGAGGGGTGTGATACTGCGAGTGCGGAGACGCGAGTCCGTTCCCGGGGGCGTTGCTTATCATTCTGCTCGGCTGATCCATCAGATGCATCTTTTGTTGTTCATACTGATTATAGTGATCAAAATGTGTCAGCTTTGTTTGATTTTGATTAGTGGAAGGATGATGAAGGGACGGCTGTAAGGAGGCAAAGCCTTGGTCTATCGGCATTTGCTGACCCATAGGATTTACTGGATTTTCCGGGTAGCCACATTCTCCGAGGCCTTCAAGGCCTTCACTGAAAATATTCCCATCCTCGCCAAAAAGACTCATCATTCCTGGATCTGCCATCTTCTTCCAACACACGGCTCCTCCAAACCACAGCTCAGGAGCTTGCCTGTGCTTCACTTCACTGAGGTGTTTGCCCTCAAAGCCTATAATCCTTAACTAATCTTCTTCATGTCATTCCATATTTCTTTAATTCTCTTGGACCCTGCAGTGTCAGGCAAAATCTGGATATAGGTCCTAGAAGGGAGTCAGGGGTGGGGGAGAAGAAGGAAGAAAACACAGAATTAGGATCCAATGATAAAAACTGCCAGTATTTTGTACATCTGAATTTGGTCTCCATCAACAATACTAATCTAGCTCCCTCACTGAGCTGTATTTTATAAATTTAGTTCACTTTAAGAGAAACTCATTAGCTTCTACCATAAGCATTATTATGATCGGTTACTTAGAAAGCAAGCAAAACACTAACCTTAACCTTAAATTAATCCATTCACTACACTTCCTAGCGTTCCATTCTTGGATGAAACAGAACAAAAGAACACAACATGAAGCAGCAGCAGCTGCCACAGCAGGCAAGCAGATGTATGAATATAGCCAAGCAGCTCATCTGCTGAACTAAAGCCCTGGAAATGCTCTGGTTACCAACAGCCCGCCCTTAACCTTATTCCCCTGAGCGGTGTAATCAGATGAGCAGCAGCAGCACTAAGGGCTGTGAAAAGCTCAACTTAGTTAAATTGACTAGAGGATTATACAAATACCAAAATCGGTCATTTCATACAAATTAGATATTTACAGCCCACATACAACTATGTGACTGCAACAGAGGCATCTAACAAGAAAGTGTTCATAATGATGCTGAAAAGCAACCTTGAGAACAGCATAATAAATTCATAATTTCATTATGCCTAATGGCAGAAATATACAAGATTCAGAAAAAGACTAAAAGAAAAGCTTTCATTCTCCAAGAGGGCCAATTTCACTCATGGGTCTGGGCCTGTGATGGTCCCAGTGTGCACTGACACAGGCAGCCCAATCACCAGGCTTATTATTCTCCCACAGGCACGCTGGGCTCTGGTGGACCAGGAGCCCATGTGACCACCCAGAGAAAACTAGCTGGGTGCATACTTTGTAGACAATGACTATTCTCATAACTAGAAACACAACTTTCTCCAAAGCTGAACGTTATTTTAACAGAATAAAGTTCAAAATATGCTCTCCTTACCACTGCCTTAAGCCCTTTTGGGACAAGGCGGGACCTCAGCAGGTAAGGAGACAAGTGGGCAGGCACTTGCGTTCGCACCCTACGTGCTTCCAGCGCACAGTGTACGCTATGTAACATGCTGCATTTTATTCCAACTCTTTCTAACAGATCCTGTGTTGGATTAAAATAACTAGTTTAAAGAATGCTTTGACAGTCTAAACAGGAAAGTGGTTTTGTTGAGCGCTAATTAAATCAACAGCCTAATAAAGAACTAATTCATATAGAAAAAATGACTGAAATCTTAAACATCTTTGGAATTTAACTCATTTTTTCTCTCTTATAAGTATATTAAGCATTGTGTGATACTAGCCCACTTGAAAAAACAGTATCTTGTTGAAGAATTTCCAAAGTGATGCTATAAACAGGCTCAGTCATAAATTCTACTGACATGCGTCCATAGAGCATGGGAATGAACAATGGGCTAACCAACACTCCTGAGAACTTACCAGTAAGACACGTATAAATTCCGTTTCTGCCTGCCCTATTCTAACACATTCCTAACAAGAGGAGAATTTTGCTTACAGAAAATGTAAACAACATTCCTGTTCACTGTCAGAACTACAGACATAACACCTGAGAGGGTCTCGGGGTCTGTAGTTTTCAGGTGACAGCTGTCAGCTAAAGTCAAAGGTCTCCTCACTCCGCCGCTAACTGCCATGAATTTTCTGATCTACTTTCTCCAAATACAGAGGTCAGATGGGTGAAAATAAGGTGAGCATGAAAGCCATTTTACTGAGAACATGCTCCTTTACTATGCAACTATTTTAAAATCCACAATAAAGAGAGGTAGGCATCTCCAGTGCCAGTTGCAACAAATATTCATAAATTAAATATACTCCTAGGAAGGCTAAACAGTCAGTCATCATTTATTAAGGTTCATTCTAATTTTCAAAGAAATAGATACTGGATTGGACTTAATAATAACTTAAACCAGCCATGCAGACCAACCACTTACCAAAATAACCTTTCAAATTAGCTTAAGGAAAGTAACGTCTACGTATGTGTCTTGGAAGGAGCCGCTTCATCTTCCAGGGTCCGCTGGTATGGGAAGAAATGCTACTGACTGGATGAGACTCCGGGCCAGCTCCATAAAAGTGAGCCTAGGGTGAGTGGATGGCTTAGCCCACTGGTGACCTTCTCTTGCAAGCCCACTGAGACCAGACGCAGAGCCAGATCAAACTTGGAGAAGCGGTGATGAAGTTGGTGCTTACTTTTTATCAGCTTAAGATTCGGTAGAGGGACATGGGTAGGGAAAAAACAGAAAGCCCTCCCTGAGAGTAACCATACTGACCCTTGGCTATGTTCCTCTTCCTTCCTGTTTCCCACGCCTTTCTACTAAGTATCCATCTCCCAGAGGCACGAAAAACACCAGCGTTATATAGCATCAACTAGGCATGTTGCTCACCACAACTATAACCACGCTCAGGTGAAGTCCAGGCAGGGAAGTTAAAAAACTAGCTTTGTAGTCTGTCATTAGTCACCGCTCACTGGGACAGCCACCAAGGCCTTCCTGCCCCTTTTCTGACCTCAAGACCCAGCTGGCAGCTATGCCAGGAATCCATCTGGTAGCTGCATTTCATATTTCTGATTTGAGCTAATCTAATTAATTTGTTTTGGTCCTTTTTTAAATTTGATCAAGACCATCTGAATGCCCACTTTCCCAAGTTGCAGCTGCAATCTATAATTTTGTGTTTCTATAAAGGATATTCATTCAAGACTCCATTTTGAAAGCTTCTCCCTTGTCTGCACTCAATATCTAGATATTTTGAGTCTAGATCAACACTGTTCAATGGGCCACAAATGAGAGCCAGTACGTTTAATTTTTAATTTTCTAGTAGCTACATTTTAAAAGTAGACCGAAAGAGTGAAATTCATTTTACCAATTTCTATTTAACCCAATAAACGCATAATACTGTCATTTCAAGAGGTAATCAATATTAAAAAAATGAATGAGCTACCTTACATATTTTGGTATTGTTTGAAACCCAGTATGTAATTTATACTTATAGTACATCTCAATTCCTATCAGTTACATTTCAAGTGATAAAAATGGACATATGGGGCTCATGGCCTCCATACTGGACAGCATGAAATATTTAAAAAGAAGAAACGGGAATAACAAATTAGCAATGACATTTTTTAAAGTCTCATAATTATCACCTGGGTAATAAACATTTGAGTTGCATATATGTTTGATTTGGCTTTATGTAAAAATTAACTCTCAAATCACAATCATTCATTCAAAATGTATTTACTGAGCACCTATTGTGATTCAGGCACTGGTCTAAGAGCTGGAGAGAGATCAGTGAATAAAATGAAATTCCCTCTTGTCCTCATGGAGCTTACATGTACCTGTAAATGACGAATCTCTTAAATAAGAACTAAGATTCGGGGCTTATGTTACCAAGAATGTAGGTTACCACTTCAGAAAGTACTCCTCGGTAATTTCTGATGAGGAACAGTCTAACTAGATGTGAGAATATTTAGCAAGCAGTACAGATCCATACAAAGGAGACAAAGTAATTCAAGTTTCGACTCAGTACCCTATTGCCAAGCATTTTCTGAGATGTGAACTGAAGGACAGTTCAGAAGATGCCTGTGTTTGGGAGTGAGGAGGGGTCACAATGAGACCACTCAACTAACAGAATCATCAACATGAGAAGTGCACTGTGAAACCAATTACAAACATTTTAGAGTTAGCAAGCACTCTGAAAACCTTCTAATCCAAATTCCTCTTCATTTAACAGACAAAAAAAAAATCCTTTTATAGGCTGAGAGGAGTAAACCTTCTACTAAACATCTCAGTGACAGTTCCCAAAGATGAAAGAAATGAATGAATGAAATGGCAGCTTACTAGTGAGGACAAAATATTAAAGGCCTACATTAAGTCTGTTTTATTCAGAGAATCACTAAAACAACTGCATCCATCACCAAATAGAAGAGAATTTCCTTTCCAAAAATGTTTTTAAATTATCCTATATATAGCTTTTAGGACATAAGCATATCAACACCAAATTGGAGCTACTGATAAATTTTACTGAGAAATGGCTAAAGGAAAAATGAGCAGATCCAACCACAGAGAGAATCAGTGATAAAAGCAATGGGTGCGTAAGATACCAAGATGTAAGAAATGTCACCAAAAATATTAATATTTTGAAAAAATATATGTATATATAAAATGTGCTATAACATTTTACTTAAAGTTTTACTTATTAAATTTGTTTTATATATAGTGATTTTCTGACCTTCCAAAACAACATCAACAATTATTTACTTCACTCTTCTCAAAGCAGAATGGCATTTGCATAGCTGAGTTTTAATTTGGTAGTGACTCAGAACAGGTGTTTTGTGTTAGAGGTGTGGACTGGAAACCTAGCAAGGAGATAGGTGAATATATAACACCTTTCATATGCAAAGTATCTCCTATAGCTCAACCACTTTTTGTCCAATTGTGTAAGTAAAACATCATCCAAAGGGAACTTTTTTCATAAACAGCCAAAATGTGGGCAAGAGTGAAATCACAGGATATTTGCCTATTAGAATGCCAAAAACAATTTTGCTGTTTATGGCTTGATTTTGAGTTGTTCTATTTAAATTTCTCTCCTTTACCTCCAAAGAGCATGAGGTATAGAACACAGCTGTGGTAATGATTCTGGGGATGGGGGTGGAACATGAATCAGAATTTCCAAGGGAGCATCTTGCAGCTGAAAAAAACAGCACATCACCACCCTCACCATAACCCATGGAGATGCCTCTCAATCATCAAGGCTGCAAAACGTATCAAGAGGGGCAAAGAATCCACACACTGACAGGTGGACACACAGAAGATAAAGGGCTCACATTGCTGAGCTTCCACTCAAAGTGAAAGTCCTTTGAGCTAGATCCTGAAGCCTGTTACCAGCAATCTCCTCCACCTGCCCCACCCACAACCCCGCCACCGAGAGCCACTTGGTAACATCTAACAGGGCCAATGTTTGCTGGAGGAGGAGTCATCTATACAACTGACAAGAACCTAGATAAACAATCAGGAAGTGTCCCCCAGGTCACCAACGCTAGCATATCAGTTCACCACAAAGTATTTTCCACATGTGCTTCATGGGCCAAATGATGCCCTTTCTGAAACCCCTGGGTTGGCCAAGGGGGCCAAGACCACATTTTCTTCCTCATCAGTATGCCAGGGCATTGCCAATACTCTATGACTATGCTGTGTAATCCAGCAGCCACCAGCCACATGTTGCTATTTAAATTACTTAAACTAAATAAAACTTAAAACTCAGTTCCTTAGTCACACAAGCCACATTTCAAGTGCTCAAAGACCACATGTAGTTGGTGGCTGCCTATTAGACAGTGCCTATAAATGAACATTTCCATCACGGCAGAAAATTCTATGGATAGCACTCCTATGTATTTCTTCTTAGATGTAACATAAGTTTAAATAAATGCCGTATTAAATGGCAGCAATCCTCTTTTGTAAAAAATATTTTCTCCTCTTCAGGGATTAGTATTCTTTTTAAGGGCCATATCTACCCTTTAGGATGAAACATATGGTATTCTTTCCATATATCATATTTTATGTTAACTAAACTTACAACCTATGTCTCCTTTCTGTATTATCTCCCAACATATATTCCTATTTCTTCATAAACAATTTTCAGTATGTTAGGAATAATTCTCAACTATACAAAATTCAGAAAAAGGTTTAGAAAGAAAAAAAAGAAGTATGTGAAGTCCTTCTAAGGTCTGTTTGTCCCCAAGTATCGTATTAAAAATAAAACCATGAAAAGTAATAAGGTCATATTACTACATTACCTCTCATTTTGCTGACATTAATGGGAGAGACACATTTTTAATAAGGAAAACTATTGACATCATATAGAGCAATGCTATGCCTTATATTAGCATTCCCTATGGCAGTAACATCATTTCCGTCTATCTCTTCAACCTAGTCAAACATTGGGAAATAAGCCTACATCCTTCCTGTCACCATTCATTTAAAAAAAAAAGTTCTGGTCTCAACACTTTTACACTACTAAATGAATTATCTTATAAAACACAGATTGCATCATATCTCTCCCTGATTAAAATCCTTAAAAGGATGTCCCATAGCTTTCAGGTTCTAGTCCAAATGCTCCAGAATGCTCGAAGGCACTAATAATCAAATCCTTACCAACCTCTCCATTCTCAACTCCCCTAACTCCCTTCCCTCTGTCCCCTGAAGCACTCACCAACACCCCCGTTAGGTATATCAAACTACTTTAAGTTTACCAACCATCCATCAGCTATTTCACACCTTCCTCACCTTCAAAACCATATTCTCTTCTCTGGCCTCCTTTTCCCCTCACTGTACAGCCTGGCCTCTTTTTCGTCTTAGTTCCTTTATTATCACCCATCTCCGGAAGCTTCCTGCCTTCAGCCCTCCCTCTTCAGGCTGATTCCAAAGCCCTCACTGACGCTACCACAACACCAACATGAGCAGAAGCTACAAAAGTGCCAAGCACACTCCTGTTCTTATGTGTTCACCTCCCTCTCTTTCTGGAGACTGGGGCCTTGCTACGGGAAGTGGGGTCCTAAGAGAGCATGCCTGGCACTCCTGGAAACTGGTAAAAGACACAGAGTCCCAGGCTCACCCCAGACCTCCTGCACTAGAATCTGCCTTTTATTAACAATGGCCCCAGGTGATTCCTGTGCATGTAAAGTTTGGGAAGTCCTGCTCTCAGACTCTGAGCTCCTCCTACAGGATAGCACACACTGACCACTCAGTTAATATAATGGATCAACAACAAATGACATATGTTGCAAAGAATTACAATGCAACACAAAGATATGTCACTTAAAGAAAGCAGTCTTGACATTTGTGTCTGACAAAGAAACAATACTGACTTCATTCAAAGAATTATGAATAGCCCTTAATGATAAATTTAATCTATAATGGTTTACAAGGAGTGGGTATCTAAAGATGGTTTAATTTTAAAGATATGCCCATCTGTTTGCCAATCATTTGTGCAAGTCAAAAAAATGCAGTTAACATTAATATCTAATGCTGTGTTACATAACACGCTATTTCACAGGTTTCTTGCAGAAATCTTTCAGTTATTTCTACATAACTTTGAAGAATCTGGATATTGAGTCGCCTTTATGATAAAAAAAAAAAAAAAAAAAAAAAAAAGTTGTTCTTTTGTTCCTACATGCAATATTGAGGCTAATATGTTTCCTTTCAAGGCAACTAATGAAATAGCGCTTGGCTAACAGATTAAACTAAGTGCATGCCCACAGCACTAGCTTCTTCCTAAGTGGTCAAAGGAGTATATTACCCCACACATAAGTTATGCCACAAAAGCACAAGGATCGTGGAAATTTGTGTCCTATAGAGAATGGCCTTTATACCCTGCAATTCAAAATTCAAATACCACTCTTTGAAGCTAACTCCTAAAGGCTAAGCCCACTGAGGTGGCCAGCACCTTGACCCTAACCTAGAGACAGTTGACCTGCTGCCCCATCGCAGACACTAAGAAAATGCATCCAGCAGGGTCTTCATTCCATGTACACAACATGGCCCAGCAACAGATGAGTACACATTCTAATAGCACCTGAAGTACTCAACATTGCATAGAAAAAGAGAAATGAAGACACATTTATCTATATATACCACATCTAGGTGTAGATCAAATATACAGCTATATAAAATGTGTATCTATACCATATGTTTTTTTTTTTTTTTTTAAGAGACAGGGTCGCCCAGGCTGGAGTACAGTGGCACAATCATAGCTCACTGCAGTCTCCAAGTCCTGGGCTCAAGTAATCCTCTCACCTCAGGCTCCCAAGTAGCTGGTACTATAGTTGTGCACCACCACACCCAGCTAATTTTCTTTTTCTAGAAAACAAAGTCTCACAGCTGGGCATAGTGGCTCAAGCCTATAATCCCAGCACTTTGGGAGGCCAAGAGAGGCAGATCACGAGGTCAGGAGTTCAAGACCAGCCTGACCAACATGATGAAAGGCCATCTTTAAAAGAAAAAAAGAAAAAGTCTCACTATGTTCCCCAAACTGGTCTTGAACTCCTAGGCTCAGGCAATCCTCTTGCCTCAGACTCTTAAAGTGCTGGGGTTACAGGTGTGAGCCATTGCACCAGGTCTCCTATCTTTTGAATGTTATCCTAATTCATTGTAATATGGTAGAAAGAAGAAAGTCAAATAAGAGACAGGCCTAGTAATAAGTAAATGAAAATTTTTAAAGTAACTTATTTTGGACAGGAAAAAATTAAATTTCAGAAATGTATTTCAACCTACCTGGCAAGAAGGCTTATAGTGCAGACTTATGGAAGAGTTACGCACATTTTACAAAATTTGCTGATTGCTAGTATGTATCTTGCTTAATATTATAAAATATCCTGGGTTTTGTAAAGCTCAGGGTGGTGTATAAAGGGCTAATGACACGATGTTTATTAGCTTGATTTTTAAAAATCACCATTAGGAAAGATTTTCCCACTCATTCTAGACTTACTTCAAGCTACTGACTTGACACACACACAGAAATTCCAGGTGATGTCAAGTCTACAAAAAGTGAGGGTGGAACAGAAGGAAAGGAAGGAAGGAGCTTCCCTGTGGTCATGCTCTGTCCAGGGACCCCCTGGCAATCACCGGCTCCTATAAGGCTGACACCGAACCTCTAGAGGAGGATGCAGAGGTGAAGCAAGGGCAAACATGCTGAAGGGCTGAGAAAGCAGCAAACAGCCAGCTGCTCTTGCAAGAAGCATGCTCTTCAAGTACTGACTGCAGTTGCCACTGATTAACTGATTTGGCAATTTCCTACATTCTTTTACATTTTAAAAAATTTCTGGAAAGCTGAAAAGGGATCTTTTTTCATATTCTGGGGGAGTTTAAAAGTGTACTCAATCCTGCCTGGTTTGAAAGGCAGGGGATAAAAAGGGTATAAACAGTCTTTTCTGATATATACCACCAACATTCTTTTTCTTAAAGGAAAAAAAAAAATTTCTTGGGCAACATCACAACTGAAAATAATTTGTCTATTCTCTTTGCTAGAGCAGGGCACGTGTGACGGGAAGGTAGCCTTATCCATCATGAATAAACCTGAGCACAAAGACAGGCAAAGCATCACAGCATACCAATGGCAGGGGTCACAAAGGGAGCTGCAGGGCTTTTGAAGACTCAGGCCTGTTAAGGTACTGCAAAAAAAAAAAAAAAATACACAGGAATAATAAAAATTCAAATTTTCATCATGGAAGAAGACAATACAAACAGGAATTCAAACTGTAAATGAAGGTTGAGATCTTTGGAAGAGTATTAGAAAAAATATTTTGGAAAACTGTACCCAATCTCAAAAACATAGACCTACAAGAAGAAAAAAAAAAATGAAAAAAAAAAAAAGTAACTTATTCAGTGACTATGATATTTCAATTTTGGTTTCAATCAAGTTAAATTTAAAAAGGAGATGGAATTAAGACTAGAATAAAGAGTTAACAGTTTCACACCCAATATTTCACAATCATTTCAATTTATAACAAATTTGGGAAATATTTTTTCCATGCAGTAGGCCCCTTTCATCCTGGGGATATGTTCCAAGACCTCTAGTGGATACTCAAAACCATGCACAGTACCGAATCCCATCGCTGTCAATTGGAACACGTTTCTATCCATGTCTTCCACCCACAAATTTAATGTGCTTTCCATCTTAACTAAGCACTTATCAGGCACTGTGGCTGTAACTTTTGCAGTTTGAGGTACAGCACCAAAATTAGCACAGATTTGTTCTTCTTTCCTCACAATTTAACTGACAGAAGATTCATTCTTACAATAATACTTACGTTTACTTCTAAGATTTATGTAAATCTCAATATGCAAACATTTTTCTTTCTTTATGAGCTTTCACCTTTTTATTTACAGGAAGCATTTTCCTGCTTCTCTTTGGCATAACCAAATCACCAGGATCACTACCCTTGCACTCTGGGGCCATTCTGAAGTAAAACATGGGTGACTGGAACACAACCACGTTGACACTGCCACAGTTGACCTCATGACCATAAGATGGCTACAAAGTGACTTACAGGCAGGTAGCATCTACAGCATAGGTATGCTAGACAGAGGGATAATAATTTACGTCCTGGATAGGACAATGCAGGTCAGTGCAAGACTTCATCATGCTACTCAGAAGGGCACACAACTAAAAATTTAGGAGCTGTTTATTTCTGGCATTTTCCCGTTAATATTTCTATACCAAAGTTGACTGCAGGTAACTGAAACCACTAAAACTGAAACCATGGAAAGCAAAAAGTTGGATGGGGGGGTGTACTGTACCTACATTTATCATAAATGCAAGCAGGTTCTACGATGCCACCATAATCAAAACTATAAATACCATGCAGCTAAACATGCCATCTTTTAGTCAAATTAAATGTCTTCATTCATATTAACACACGATAAAAGACAAAATTTTATCCACAAACTCTGTATATATAACTTAACATCTTCCTACAACTTCAGCAAAGGTTAAACCCCAAACTGGCCTCTCTCCTTATTCCCCAGCAGTCATCTGGGTTTCCTTCCTTCTAGATAGTCATGTACTGGGGGAAAGCTAACTTCAAGAAACATCTTTTATAATATTGTCAGTAATTATTATATTTTTAAAACTATAATACAAAGCATTTTGTAACAAATTCTTGTATTACTTTTCTTGTACCACCATGCTATTCTACATCATTGAGCACTGACTGTAATGACATGCTTCTGCTTCACATATTTTCCCTAAAAATCATTTTGACTAACCAATTCTAATTTTAAGTAGTTTATACATATGAGTGTGCAAGACTCTTGACATTAGGACATTAGTATTCTAATTTGTAGGTAAGCTTCATATTTCAGTTTGAGAAAAGATCTCACTTATGTAGTCATAAATTTCTACATTGTGTCCATTTTGATCATAGATCAATATTTAAGTACACATCAAGTTAGCAAAGAGACTGCATTACAAGAAAAAGTAAGTGGAGTGAGAAAACGCGCTACTACCAGACATGACATTTGTTTTGCATAATGAGAATGATGAAAATAATTTAAGTCTACCTATGAAGCTTTGAATTTTGTACTTGGTTTAATCAAAGATTACAAAAAGAACCAGATACCTACTCAGCTTTAAAACACAGCGTTTACTAAGGCCTCAGACTGCCACACCCACCCATCTGAACGGTTTTAATGAGTTTAACTACTATACATCAGTTGATAATAAAATTATGATCCAGATAAGGAAATCTAAATAATTACATTTCATCAGGGATAATACTTGCATCATACTATACCTACCCACATTTTCAAGTTTCCTCCCTGATATCTGCTATATCTCTTAACATACCAAAATCCCTATTTTATGCCCATTTCTCAGAAATCATTTGGAAAGTCACTATTCTGCTAAACAAATCTAAAGAATATAAATAAAGGTTTGGCAAAATATGTTCTGACAGACCACATATCTCAATTTTCTACTTCAAAACACAGTCACAAGCACTCTGTGCTTTGGTTGGGCACCTGCCTGGACCTCTGTGTGTCCAAATGTCGAATTTCCTTAGTCCTAAAATTCTGCCATCCCACAACAGTGAGGTAACTTATGGCAAAAGTTCTTAAATACCACTTTGTTCTCAAAATTGCTTAGATGATCATATCCAAATAATTTTTATTGGCCACATACAAACTGGTTATTTAGTAGCTTTTAACCTTTCAGAATTATGTATAACACTTGTAGAATAAATCTAAATTTTCTGTTATCGACACTGAGGTCTACTTGAGGGTGGAGGGTGGGAAGAGGGAGAGGAATAGAAAAGATAGCTATTGAGTACTGGGCTTAATTCTTGGGTGATGAAATAATCTGTACAACAAACCCTGTAATATAAGTTTACCTATAAAACAAACTTTCACATGTACCCCCAACCTAAAAGTTAAAATAAATAAACATCGTTAATTTTGAAAGAATCCTTTTGTTTTTCTTTAAATAAATGACATACTGTTTAAACGTTAACCTGTAAATACAGACTATATTTCAATATTTCTTTCATCATAAACTATTTCAATGTCCCCGTTATATGTCTATAAATGTGCACAGCGTCCCCAGGTAGGCAGGCACATCAAGAAAGACCTTGCCCATTGCAGTGAGCGGAGATCGCGCCATTGCACTCCAGCCTGGGCAACAGAGCAAGACTCCGTCTTGAAAAAAAAAAAAAAAGAAAAGAAAAACCTCGCCTTTTATGTCTATCACTTGTACCCACAATGCCAGACACAGTGCCTTAAAATAGGAATTAGCCATTACATAACATCTCAGTATATCACTAACACTCCTTCCTCTTGCCACAAAAACATGGGAGAGTCAATGATTGTGTGGGCTCCTTAAGACTTAATTCACACAAGTGAGGGGCGGGTCTTGGGTTGGGGTCGGGAATTAAAGCATCTTCCTTCTCTCCGCTAATACTGTGCCATTAAAAAAAAAAAAGCACACTGATGACACCCTTCCAGCTTTACAATTCCTTGCTAGTATAATGACCTGCTGCAGATTTCAGAGTAGACCCTTCAAGGCAACATGGCCTGGCAAATTTCCCATCAACAGGGCCAAGAACCCACAGTTTTTAAATTATGCTTTTTAGAGAGTCGCACATTTTACTGAACTGTGGAGCACAGACT